ACAATCGAATTATGGGTGTTATATGCCGGTACACGTATGAAATTGCGTCTATACACAACATGTTTGTGTTAACACATCTTGAATACTTTTCACCTGAGAACTAATGTCACGGAGAGCAGTAGGTAATATTAATCTGTGATGGTGCGAATCAAACATAAGGGCGGATGGAGTATAAAGACATGAGGTATCCGCGATTCGAAAATTTCGCAAGCCAGTTATGTCACAAATAATCTAGTACTATCGCGAAATTCGCGAGACATCTGAAAAACCAAGTGATATTCTCAGAATCGTTATGGTGAACTCGACCCACTTCCCACACACATGACCGAATTAGTTGATGTAATCATATTACATGTTCATACATGCCTACACAGACGTTAAACTATATTTGAATCATCTACACTCCGAGCATATACCTCGATGTTTCTTGCATAATTTTTTTTTAAAATATTAAAATCCCTAGCCTTATCTCACGTCACATACCAAAATGAGCAAATCCGTTGAACCTAGGTGTTGTAAATCGCGGTTGTAATTTCGTAAATCGACTCATCGGTTGGACCCAAGTAACGCATGATCGGTTACAATCGGACGTACTCGAGGTTGAATGCGCTGCGTGTGCGTAACGTCAGCGCCATGTACGCTGTGCATGTATGTAGTCTGCTTTACCCTGTTTACTGTTGTTTTGCACCTGTTTGACTACTTGTGCTTATAATACATGTACTGATTCTCATCACTTTTCCAGTTTTTTTTTTTTTTTTTATTAAATGATTATGGATTTGAATAACCAAGCGCTGTCGCAGCCACTGCTCAAACGCGATGGATCGAGTATAAGTGATGATCGTGACATCACTACTTGAACCTGAACTACAATGGCAATTCCAATTTTTGCCAAAAAATTGCCGTGTTCGAAGGTACGTTGACTGGCGTGCTTCAAAATAGGACGTTTAATATGGGAGCATAGCAGTAACAACTATACCCAATTTCAAACATGTGGGCCAAACGGTTCCTGAGTTATCGTTGACCGAAGCAAAATGTTGACGGACGGACGGACTATCGAGGAAGACCAGGAGAAGACTAAGGAATGACCTTAGACAAATTATATGTTTTTTCCCTACCTGCTGACACCTTACTGCAACCACAGACTAGTGTTGGTAAGTATGAGCATAGTAAAGTATAATATTACTATTTCGATATTGGTCATAGTCACAAACATGCACGTGAGGTGCAAAGGCAAAAATTGATTACTGAAACAATTCAGTTTTCATGCGAATTACCTAGATCTGCAAAAACGGATAACCCACTTGATTGTGAATGGTTCTAGATCACCAATAATGTTACTATGATATATATGCCATATTGTTATGATCAATGTGCTTATCAGTAACTTTAAGAAAGTGGTTGGGGAACTAATTAGCTTTTGTATAGATATGAATACTGTACATACACAAGTCTTGTGCAATTATTTCACTTGGAACCAATTTTGCGAAACATGCGACTCTTAGGGAAGAAAACTACGTTGAAATCAAAGTTTTAGCAAAGCTTGAGACAATCAAGACATTGCCATGACAACATGTTTACAGATAACCGTCTGGTTGCCTATAATACCAGCAAAACAGGAAATACTTGCATGAGAGCTCACCACTTAAAACTGTTTAAAAAACGCTCTAATGTTTATAAATTATAAACTATGGCACATGCTACGAAACAGCACTGCAGTTATTCAGTCCACAATACAGTAACAGTCTGTGGGTTGTGAACTTACACACCGGTAAGATTCCTTACTATTTTAAGCAGTGCCAGTGTTTCTGATGTCAGAGACACAAAAAGTTCAACTCACAGGTGTCGAGTTTTCCCTGTGCCAATAAAGATGGAGCACTTGACAATGAGAAATTCCGGGATAAATTACTTGCATTTTCCGGAACGACTACCCAGAGGTTAGCACTGTAATTATAAAGTGCTAGCCCTTTTCATTAGCTCGACTCCTTTTTTCACAGGTTACAAGATGTTACCATCCATGACTGACCGCATACTACTACTACTACTACTACTACTACTACTACTACTACTACTACTACTACTACTACTATGTCAATTTGATTATAAAAACAACAACATTAACAGCAAGAACAATGTCAATGTGACTACCCACAATAACTAGTACCTGTTCAGAAAGCTCGGCAGCATAATAGGATACTAAACTGATGCAGATCAAATTCGATAGTAACCAGGTGGCAATGATACATCTAGCCATGTTGTCGAGGACGTTGATCTTGTAATCGCTGATGAGCTAAACGTAACAATATTTTATCGTTAATTGATAGTTATTACTTCGTTAACCACCTATTGTAAATATCGTAATGATACATAACACACACCCGTATAGATATTATAAATTAGCATTTTAAGTGGACTTGCAAATGTTTATTACAAGCACATCACCGTCAAGACGAAGCCTCATGCGCCACACCTCGTCTGCGGTCTATCCAATTTACTACTAACTACTAAATACCAATTGCAAAGTCAAAAGAACTGTAAAGCTAACTGACTGTTACTGTGACCGAGGAAAGAATACCTTGTAGCTATCTTAGCCACAGACTGTTAGGGGATGTTCTAAACCATGCTCTATCCTAATCTTACTCGGTAATATAGTGTGCGTGGCTATCAGCCCTGACCACAATGACTATTCTTGGACATGACCACGTTGTGGGAAATGCATTGTGCACGCTAAATTCGTATTGTTACTTTTAGATATACACTAACTTGCACAAATCGCGTCTACGGTGCACAGAGTACTGACACCAATTCGAGGAATCCCATTTGATTATCAGAAAGGAGGTTAGACTTTTGACATCCAGTCTCGGGCAACATTGTGTTTCTCAGTCCACAAAACTCCATGTTTTCCTCGTAACCAAGCAATTGTTGTATAATATCAGGGGTTAATAATGACAAATTTGTAAAACTTTGTAAGATTGTTGACAAATTCCTAATATTTATAGCCGACGATATTGGAAATTTTATTCCGTGTTAAAACCTTGAAATGTTCTGTGGATGAATTGAAAACAACGTTACAGATATTAGAAATCGTTAATGCTGACTATTAGAATCATTAATCTTAAGAGAGCTCACGTTGCTATACCGCGTCTTTAGAACAAATAGCTAGTTAGCTGTTAGAACAATTAATAGCTATACCTGGTAGCTGATAAAACAGGCTTGCTCTACGTTGCACATGAATGTTATGGCGATAAATCTCCTGAAGTCTCGGTCGGCCAATGCAACGACGCGGGTCAGCTGGTGATGTTCCAATCGCAGACATTCCAATCGTCTCGATACGGTTTCCGTGCAACGCGCAGGTTTAATAAGTAAGTTTTCTAGGGATTTATTTAAATTCTGATACTGTTTAGTGAAGATTTTGCACACCGAATAGAAGAACGCTTGCGGCAATATCCAGGAGAAAGAGGCGATTGATACTGAAGTGGCCACTAAAGCATATATAAGCCGAGAAGGGTGCCAAGGTGCCGTTACGGGCTCGAAACTTTTTCTCAGACCTTCAATTGGTCCTAAAGCAATAAACCACCATGAAAAAATGTTCGCGATTACGAACGCCATAGCAACTACTGTTGTTATTCCGACACTCTTCCTTATGTTCTTGATTTCTTCTTCGCTGAAAGAAGCTGCCCGATCAGAATTCTGAGTTTCATCCCAATACTGGAACAACTGTTCGAAGTGACCACTTTTCCTTGCAGCAATAAATAGTACGACAGCGTTGGACAAACATAATACATGCCAGCCGACAAATACCAGTCTGAAAATAAATGAGCCTGCAAAGACAGGATCGTGTATGAAGAATGTGGCTATTAACCTGGCGCAACTAATGAGTTGAATTAGAAGCGAGGCAATCGCTAATGACACGCTGACAAATCCCATACCAACGGATCCGCGGATACGTGGGCATACACCCGTTAGCCACATGGTTTCTAATATGGGCTTCAATAGCTGGCAAGGCCCATATCTCTGTCTATGTGAATCGCGAAAGCGACGATCCGCAGCCTTCCCGGTTGTCGTAATAACACTGCTCGTAACTGACATCATGACGCCTGCCGTCGCCGAGACACTAGAAATGCACCGATAAAAGTCCTCGTGGTGTGCTAACCTATGATCTGCTCTCGTGAACGTTTCTGACTGCGCCGAGCAGAAAGTCGATTCACACGGGGGTACACTAGCGCAGCCGCAGGAGAACTGAGAGTATGGATGTTTAGGGATGGCCTGAAAGCCCACACCGGGCCCGTGCCATTATAGATCCCTTTGTACACGCTTCCGTCACATTTTGATCTTTAGTGTAGCGATTGTTTTACCGCGCTACCATGCCTGATATGCTTTTGTGTTCGACAACGCTATTATCACGATATTTTGTATGTTGCACGTAGCGCATGTACTTGCGTTATTACTGTGACAATGCACGTTGATCTAATATAGACATTCTTTGTATGGCTATATAAAAAGCGACGCCATCTGTTGTATACGGAGCGTAGGCCCATGCGTGCGTCTGTCCGCATGCTGATGTGTGTGTGTGTGTGTGTGTGTGTGTGTGTGTGTGTGTGTGTGTGTGTGTGTGTGTGTGTGTGTGTGTCCGAATAGACTTGAACACAATTTTATCAATATTAGCAGAAGCTGATATTAGTTGACGAGAATTGCGCGATGTGAGATAAATATCGCCAGCGCAAACCGTGTAGATGGGTGCGTGTGTATTATGGGTGCGTGTGTATCATTCATGTGTGCGTGTGTATCATGTGTGCGTGTGTATCATGGGTGCGTGTGTATCATGTGTGCGTGTGTATCATGGGTGCGTGTGTATCATGTGTGCGTGTGTATCATGTGTGCGTGTGTATCATGTGTGCGTGTGTATCATGGGTGCGTGTGTATAATGTGTGCGTGTGTATAATTAACGTCGTTCTTTATCGATAATAGTTTATAAGAAGCCATAAAAATTTCACAAGTCCTACTTAATGTAAAAAAACATTTTATTGATATTTAATGTTTACTTATAACGCACTACATTATAAAGCATTGCATTACAGATTCGGGGTTAGTTTTTATCATTTAAATACGGATCATGCACAGGCCGTAAGCATTTATTTCATAGTCATGACTAAACCGTTACATTTGCCCTTCAAATAATGAATGCAACGTACAACCAACAAGCTGAATAGCGCACAATAGAGATGACGTTACGTGTCGAGGTATTAATAGACGATTATGGTAGTGAAATATGTCTCCGTATCCTTAGTATCGGCTGTAGTGCCCCGTGTATCTGTCTCCGCTGCCGCCATATCCACCTCGATATCGGGAATAGCCTGCCGACAACAAAAACAATTAGGAGCAAATTATAATCGCCGTGCATGAATGCATTGCTATACACGCCAGTAGTTGTATGCGCACAGACGTAAATCTAAGCTCAACTATATGTCTTGTACACGTGCATGACTTTACGCATACTGGGCAAGATGAACTGGCATTAAGACGTACTTTCTTTCACTTTTTACAGGGTCTATCTGCGGATAAGATCGCGAGGTCGAAACCGCACACATTATCATCACGATCGACATACATTGTGCACTCGTGCTATAACTTGTGTCGGACATACAATGACTCCATACAATGGTCTAGTGCTAATCGTGTACCTCTTCTGTGTGGATAGATACAACGTTTGTTGTAATATCCGCCCTTACAGTAAGGTCGTCTGTTGCCGTAGCTACGTCTATAATTGGGACGCCTGTATCTGTATCGGCTGTAACCGGGTCGCCGATGACTATCGTAGGTAGAATGGTCATCAACGTGGGCGTGTGGTTCGTGGACATCATCATGCTCGCTGTGATCGTCATCGTAGCGGTAGCCGCCATATCCGTTATTATTATCATAGGCGCCCGCGTAATCAACGTCGTAGTCACGGTCGTAGTGCGGATCGTCGTGATAGGTATCCTGGACGTGTGGATCGTCGTGGTAAGCTGTTATCCTGTGCTTTCTCACGACCACCGTCTGCTGTCGCCGCCGCTTGGTTGTGTACTGTGCGACCGTTTGCACCTGCCCGCAACCGAAACAATGCGATGACTTATAATATAAGTCAAAATGACTGACAATAATATTGTTGTCTCGATGTCAGGACGATATAATATTATTATATCGTCCTGACATCGAGACAACAATATTATTTTCTAAATGGATGGGGATTCTTCGTCATCGTAATTTGCTTCGAGATAGAATTATCATGTAAATATCTGATTACATATTATAGCATGAAAGAATCTAGTTAAACAGCTGCTACTCACAGCAAACACACAGCATATTCCTAATAGCAGTGCTGTTGGTCTCATTGTAGTAAACGTCTGAAAAGAATCATCGTAAGACGCGAGTTATGGATATATGTTAGTATACATCGGTTGTAAGTGCAGTATATATATAACTGCCATTTATAACGCAAATTATAGTATACTGTGAAAAACTATAGAAGATTATATTCTCATAAACCGTCTTTCGAAATGTAAAACAGATAAGTATTAGATAAACTGTAAGCTACCGTGTGCTCTATCATCATGCGTCAATGTAATCTTACCTCAGCGGATTTTCTGCGATCTACTAGCACTATCTAGATTCGTCTGAGCATCGATAGCACTGGCTTGGGCAACTTATATAGCTAGCCCTACTATCTTCGACATCAGAATCAAGCATCTCAAGGCAACGTGACACCGAGGCTAAATCTTACACACAAGGTGACGACCACGCGTGCAGTTACTTGCAATCAAGGGTTGGTAAGGTTAACTGCCCTTGTTACGTCTGTTCTTCGCCTTGTGTTCTTTCACCTTGAGACGATGCCTGTATACACGCCTATTGGAGATAAACCTGCTCAACAAATGCTTGTAAATTCTAGTGCTTTATCCTTTGCGCCCGCCTAGGTCAGGTATACTAGCCCTGGCTATTGGCACGTGCAATAACATAGACGAGGCTAATACATGAAAACTGACGTAAACAAGCAAATTCGGGCATGCTCGACCTCGCCTCCGTACAGGCATATATAACCCCCCCAATGGCATGGCATGCCATGGGATGGCATTGAATGTGATGAGATGGGATGGAATGGGATGGGATATGGGATGGGATGCGGTGCAATGGGATGGGATGGGATGACATGGGATGGATGGATGGATGGATGCATGGATGGATGCATGGATAGATATATAGTTCGATTTTTTGGGGTATTTTCCTTTTAACCAAGCGGTCACCAGCTGAGTAACGCCACTGATTTCCCCGGGCAACGCCGGGTATCCCGCTAGTATAAAGATATTTTTGTTTGCCCAGAACAAATTGGACAGTCTAACAAACGCTCGACCACTACCAATACGATTCTTTTTATCTAGACTATGATAAACGATTTAGACATTTTCTCGTTTTGAAATGTCGTATAGATCTTATTCATGCATTTCAAGTCACCGAAACGTGGAGTGATTCATTGTCAGAAAACTGCAGTATTCTCAAATACCTACAACACACTGTCATTCTACTTAGTTTCCACGATTATTTTCGATTACTTGCCTAGATTAAAATTCTCTTAAATTAACACAATTCTCGATGATTTTCCAGATTAATTATTTCAAACGTATCTAAAATTAACCGGCACACAAACTCATTCCCCTTTGAAAATATTTCTCCAGATAAATGATAACAAGGACACAAGTATATAACACATACTTCTCGAACACATGGTGTGTTCAGCACAGCATGCAAGCATTCGCGTAGGTGACGGACGCGTGTGCTTACAAACACGCGTTTCGGCGTGCACGCAAGCACGCACGCACGCACGCACACATCGTCATCATCATCATCGCTGTATAACACATTGAGCTCGGCGTAGACTGACACCACGTCTCTACACCATGTTAACAGACGTAGACATCTACGCACACTTCTATATGCGGAGAGACGGGGTGACCGTCTAGGCGCGGATCAGCGTGAAAGTCGTCGGTGCGCGGTGATCGAATCACGCCGTCGCCTGGCCGCCACACTCACTTATATAATACAATCACACAGCGCACCTACGTCACGCCGTCAACCTTCCACCCCCACCACCACCATCACATACACATACACATGCACGCACGCACGCACGCACGCACACACACACACACTCACACTCACTTATCTAATACAATCACACAGCGCACCTACGTCACGCCGTCAACCTTCCACCCCCCCCCCTGTTCCGAATATCGTGACCGTACGTCGAGCGGTTAAGACTTGTGCCCAACTGTTGACGCACGCACGCACGCACGCACGAACGAACGGACGATCATGCGATTCTACAAGCTGCATCTGACTACGTCAGATGAGCTAAAAATATGTGTAATTTACTTAAATTGACTACGTCACGAATTTTCTATGGTAAAATTTGTAAGATTTTTGTTGCCATTTTTTTACATTAAAAGTAAGAACTAACGGGACTAAACATATCGTCAAATTCTTACCTGATAAGATTGTTTCTCAACTAGTTAAAAATCCAAAAAACCTGGACGATTTGACATTAATGTTCCCAACATTAATTGCTTGCTATGGGCTATGTATGAGTCACAAGTGTATGTTCACATCAAGCAATATAGTAAAACAGGAAGTATAATGCAGCAATTTAACCATAAAAAGTGAACAGAATTACTTATATTTTGTGAAAAAGTGGAAATATTATTTTTATTTTTACTATTTACGGTGATGTAATCACTTTAATATCAACGACTTCAACTTGGTCATATCATGGATTTGACATTCAGTCATGCTGCTGGTACTGTGGTCTCACAATCAGTGGTGATGCTACTCCAGTACTAGCACTGTAGCAGTAACATTACGTGCGGTTAAGCGTTTACAAATTACAGAGTGGCTATATGCCTGGCAGCCAGCATATATCTGACAGCTGCCGGGCACGGTCTTCAATTTCCTAAATGCCCGGCAGTTTTTAATTTTCAGCGTTATCTCAAGTAAACAAGGGTTAGGGTTAGGGTTAGTGTTAGGAACTGCCGGGCATTTAGGAAATCAAAGACCGTGCCCGGCTGCCGGGCATATAGCCACAGTGTACAAATTGCAGTTGGGGTAAAAATAAGAGATACACTTCAATAGTTATACAAATTGTTAATTATTTCTGTAATACGAGTGTATTTCAGTTTTTGACATTGCCTACTATAGACTATAGTATTTACCGTCGAGGTTTCTCTCTCCTTGTACTCAACTCGTAGACATATGCTATGGCCATGAACTAGCTGGAACATCTCTGATGTCGTGAACGTTACTGACACCGTGCTGTGAATCTTAACTCACATAACGAGATGGCGTATATTCCTCGACCACCTTACGGTCATTTTTTACAATCAAAAGTTCCTTTTGCGAGCCGCTAGCTAACGAACATCGGGCAGTCGAACAGCACAGCAGGCTGGGTGAAGGGTAGCTCCAAGAAACGGTATTGCTAGAGTTAGAATACCGTATATTGACTACTGTATATTGACGTTAGTCACACAGCCTGGTTGGGTTAGGTGAAGGGATCATGGCGAGCTGGACGCATATCTCGACCCAAAACACTCACCTGTTAGCGCCTATGAATCAGCAGTCAGGTCTTTCTGGGACGATTTCCTAATTCCTTGTGAACTCTGGTCCACTCATACGACTACTTTATTTGGCTTCATTGTAACAAGTAAGAGATTAACGACATTACTAACCACGAAAATATGGAAAAGAATATGAGCCAGAAACGGGCCCTGGCGATGACGTCATTGATTCCTGAGCACCATAACAGGCGCGCAGTGCCATCTCGTATCGCATATGTATATAAATTTTGTAACCGGCAGTTCAACTAAAACTATAAATATACTAATAAATATTAATAATAATACCAATAATACTAAAAATGCTAACGATGCGTATAAATATAACGGCTTCGAAGGTTTTATAGCTTTTGCTATATCTGTACAAATAAAATATAATTAGCATACAAACACCGATAATGGGAATAATGCGCGTGATAACCTCATAAATATTAGTCTTCAAAGTCCAAGGGACTATATCAACATAATATATTCTATATTGATGATAATAGTAATATCATGCGATAATATATTAATGACAGCACCAACACCAATCATGATAATTGTGCAATTATTATGTTGATTTAAATGCAAGCTATTTTACTACAGATACAGACAGAAAAAAAAAGTGTTGCCAAATAACCTACGTATTGCGAATTTATAAATTGAATAAAAAGAAATAGAATAATTGAACAAATACAATTGATAATCAATTTCTGAATGCAAAATAAAAATGCAAGAAACAGCCAAATCAATTTTAGTAGTGACGTGGCATCTCGCTAGTGATAAACATATACTATATACACAGAAAGTGAACTTTGTCCAATATACCTGCCTTTATCTGGGAAGATCTCTGGAAATTGTTCGTTCGCACTTTATATGCGGCTTTACTTATATCAAGGGGATATAAAACCTACGAGAATATATAATTTCTAAACATATAGGATTTATACGCTCTTGTTACTGTATTGTCTGATGAAAAATAATTAATTGAATGTGCGTACATTTAGCCTATGGTCGTGAAACTGCTGTTTCGTACGCACGTACACACGTGCGCCCACATCAGACACATACACGCGCAGGCACGCTCACACGCACGCATACACGCACACATGGCACGCGCGTACGCACGCACACGCATGCACGCACCCACGAACGCACGCACACGCACGACGGGCGGAAAAATACGACATATATTAGAAAAGGTTATTGGCGAACATGGGGTGTAACATGCGCGCATTGAACTTTTTTATCACAAGTTACTTTTTTATCGCACAATAAGTCTTCGTGGCACGTGAAACGCCACGTGACATGTGAGTCAGCTTCTATAGATATTTATGTTCGCAGAATATAATATGCAGAAGATGGCATCGTTGTTTGCTATAGCGCCACAGGCAGACTTGTGCTGACTTAAACGCCCGGATGCGTGCCAGCGAAAAGCAGACGTTGGCTAGCGCGTGAATTTTATCCCAGTTCTGCTTTGGTATACGACCAAGCAATACGAAGAAATTTATCCGAAAACGTCTTAAACGCGTAAAAACTTCGTAAACATGTTACGTAAATAAAACCGAATGGTTTTAGTTATGGGAAATATCGCATCATTTGCCAGAAATTGTGGGAAGACATTTCAAGACTTGTTTTATTAATTCAATGACATGAATCTTTCGATCTGCGTTCACTTTGGCTTTCTTCCATTGGCTGGTTGACAACGAGAGCAGCGAAAGGAAGTCGTCCATACTTTACCGGATTGTGCCTTTTGTATGTAGGTTCGGAAACTAACAAATTAACATGTCTTTTGCTTAGGACAACAAAATCCTGTAATACTTTCTTAATATATCGCTATATTTCACCATCAGCGCCAGCTATATGTCTCCTAGTGCTCTGTATCAAATTTTCAAGATTGTTTGCAGTGGAAATTTTATCTCGTTCATTAAATTTTCATTGAATGATTAATTTTCCCTTCCATCGTCGCTACTTAAATGCCGCGACGTGACTGCGAACTTTTACACATTACCCTTCCGATAGGTAGCGCTGTGGACTCATTTGGAATTTGGTCCGCAGCGGCTGAATACCGTATCGCTCATTGAGCAGCTCCCGTG